AAGTGGAGGTGCTGGGGCGGGGGGAGGTGCAGGAGAAGGGGATGTGGGGGTTGTGGTGGGAGCGGGAGGTGGGGTGGAAGCGGGAGGGGAGGAGGTGGGGGGCGGGGTGCGGGTGTCGGAGTGAGGTGGTGGCCCGGGAGCAGGAGGAAGGAGGAGTGTGAGAGAGTGAGGGAGAGTGCCTGGTGAGGAAAGAGGCGGGGGAGAGATGGCGACATCTCGCTGTCACACTCTCTGTCTCCTTGACCCTCCCTCTGTGCCCCTCCCTGACCATCTGCCTCTCTCTCTTTCAGGGGGACAACGTTTGTGGATTTGCCCTACACAGTGAAGGGCATGGATGTCTCGTTCTCAGGAATCCTCTCCTACATCGAGGTGAGACCCGCCCCCGTCCCCGTGAACATCCTGGGGGTTACCATTGACCAGAAACTGATCTGGACCCAGCCCCATATAAACACAGGGGCTACGGGAGCAGGTCAGAGGCTGGGAATCCTGCAGCGAGTAACTCCCGTCCTGACTCTCCCCCCTGTCCCCACCATCGACAAGGCAGGAGGGGGAGGGAATACTCCCCACTTGCCCTGGATCGGGGCAGCTCTGACAACACTGGAGAAGCTCAACATCATCCAGGGACAAAGCCAGACCCCCTCCCGCTTGATGGGCCCCACATCCACAAACCTCCTTTCCCCCTCCCCTACCGACGCTCATTTGCAACAGTGTGTGCCATCTACAAGATGCCCTGCAGAAACTCCCGAGCCACTCCCCATCCCGACTTGGAAATATATTGGCTGTTCCTTCAGTGCGGCTGGGTCCGAATCCCTGGAATTGCCTCCGTAAGGGACACTGTGGGTCTTACCCTACAGCACATGGACTGCAGTGGTTCAAGAAGGCAGCTCACCCCCACCTTCTCAAGGGGAGGGGGGCAACTAGGGATGGGGCGATAACTGTTTGGCCCAGCCAGTGATGCCCACATCTCAATGACTGAACCTTTTAAAACATGTGGAGGTAATACATAGTTAACTGTTCTCCAGGAGGTTGCACAGAGCAAGATAACAGCTGGACAGTGTACAGCGGAGGATCTATGCTACTCGCTCCAGGTAGGGAACAGCACTCCCAACAACCAGAAATTGTTCAACTCCAGTCAGAATAGCACCTAGACACGAATCAGCAAAGCAGACGCAAGGCTGAGTCGTCGAATCTGCCCCTTCGTTCTCTGAGATTCTGTACAGATTGCACAGGAAGGGAGGGAGGGAGGGAGGGGGAGAGAGAGAGAGAGAGAGAGAGAGACAGACAGACAGGAGATCAGAGTTAGGGATATAGACGAGGGGGGGACACAGGGAGAGGTCGGAGAGTTAGAGATACAGAGGGGTGGGTTTAGGGAGAGGTAGGAGAGTTAGAGAGAGGGATATAGACGGTGGGGGGTGGGATACAGGGAGAGGTCGGAGAGTTGGAGAGGGATATAGACGGTGAGGGGTATACAGGGAGAAGTCGGAGAGTTAGAGAGGGGGAGATTGTCTGAAGTTTCCAGGATGTTTGACACTTTTTCTACCCCCACCCCCCACCATCCACCCACCCCCTGTCTTGTGTGTGTGTGTGCGCGCGCGTGTGTATGTGTGTTTTACCAGGAGACGGTATTTGCCATGTTGGTGGAGACCACGGAGAGAGCAATGGCCCACTGTGGATCCCAGGAGGTGCTGATCGTCGGAGGGGTCGGCTGTACGTATACCCGGTGGCCGGGGAGGGTGGGGGGGTTGATGCCCATGTCTCTGGGGGCGGGTGGGGCCTGGCGAGGGCATATGGCGGCCTTCGGAGGTTGGAGGGGATTTGCCTGTGGCACGGGGTGGGGGGCACTGCGGAGGGGTC